TAAATATCGCTTTTGAAGTGGATGTTACAAAGAATTTTTTGATTTGTATAGATGATTTTTTCAACAAGTCATCGAGTTTAGTTGATGATATATTACCGAAATCTCAACTAGTACTTTCTAGTGCTTCTTAAACAACCCAATTCCACTCTTAAAACCACATATTTTTAATTTTAGTTTATTTAGTGGTCAGTTTAGTATAATGAAGCAAGAAGTAGGAAAAAGAATAGCTGAATATGTGAGTAAATTTTTAAAATAGAGTACCTACCTATTCTTAAAGAAGAGTTCTCAAATAATATTAAAATATCTTAAACTAATTAATCAAAGCAACTCACACGATTCTTCGCTAAAATTTTCGAGAATAAAGCTGGTTCTAGCTCAAATAAACATCGAAGAGTTCTCAAATAATATTAAAATATCTTGAACTAATAAATCAAAGCAACTCACACGATTCTTCGCTAAAATTTTACAGAATAAAGCTGTTGGTTCTAGCTCAATTAAATATCGAAGAGTTCTCAAATAATCTTAAAATATCTTGAACTAATAAATCAAAGTAACTCACACAATTCTTCGCTAAAATTTTACAGAATAAAGCTGATGTTTCTAGCTCAATTAAATATTGAAGCGTTCTCAAATAATCATAAAACATCTCGAACTAATAAATCAAAGCAACTCACACAATTCTTCGCTAAAATTTTAGAGAATAAAGCTGGTTCTAGCTCAATTAAATATCGAAGAGTTCTCAAATAATCATAAAATATCTTGAACTAATAAATCAAAGCAACTCACACAATTCTTCGTAAAAAATTTCGAAAATAAAGCTGGTTCTAGCTCAATTAAATATCGAAGCGTTCTCAAATAATCATAAAATATCTCTAACTAATTAATCAAAGCAACTCACACAATTCGCTAAAATTTTCGAGAATAAAGCTGGTTCTAGTTCAATTAAATATCGAAGCGTTCTCAAATAATCATAAAACATCTCGAACTAATAAATCAAAGCAACTCGCACGATTCTTCGGCAAGAAATCTCGAGATAATGGAGCGACTCGATAGAAAAATCGAGTCCCATCGTTAGACGTGTGAGTCATGTAATTGACGTTTTGGGTCAACGACCAATTTGATCAAACCGACGGGCGTTAATTTTTTTTCATTTAGTCCCGCATTCCATCGCAGCCTCTCGTTTCATTCATGTTAGTAGATTACCACGCGCTCCTGCAGATCGACAAACCAGTATTTGCGCTTTATTTATAGAACGCTCCGAGAGCGTTTGGGAAATCGATTCGATCGAGCCGATGCGTGAGAATTGGGTTGGAGTTGGAGCATACAGCACTTTTTCTACGACCAAATGCGGTTACCGCAATCTGTTCGTATACCTACGTACCGCATTGTATCCCTATATCGAGGCTTATGCGCGTTCTTGTCCGTAATTTCATCGGGTATTGTTCGGGCAACAAACGCCGCTCGAGATCAAGGAGGCTGCGAAAGGAGTCGCTCGACCGCGATGCTCGTTCGTTTCGTATTCGGGATTACCAAATCGCGTTTTGTGCTCTTTCGAAATCGCTACCGAAATGCAGGTATACACATCATTTCCCATTATGTTCGGCCGTTGCATAATTCGAAGGCGACTAGTGGGTGGTTGAAGAGGAATTTCCGAAACGCCGGGCCGCTTCTTCGGGCGCGCAGCGAGAGCGAAAAGAGAGGTGGATGGAACGGACGGTACGGAGGAATGTCGAGAATGCTGTCGTCCACGCCTTTTAGCACGACTATAAGCCGGTAATCTTCCTTTCTTTCGAAGTTTACGCGCGCCCGTGCGGCCCGTTGCGTAGTGCAAAAATCTGAATTTTTAACTACAGTCGGTGCAAAACATATACCAATGCACGTCACCTATAACTTACTGCGTCACAAGTAGGCAGTGTTGCCAAACTTAAGAAATGTATAACTAAAGAAACTGTAGAATTTATAAAATCTATTTTCTAAAATGGTCAAATGGCAAAATGACAAGTATTCTGGGGCTTACTATAATTAATCATCAAATTCATTTAACAAATTTAACAGTTAAAAATACTGTGTACAATCGACCCTTAAAAGAGTACAAAGTGAAATTTCTGAGAAAACTTCTGAATCTTAATTCTGCTCAAATTGTGTCATTTCTAACTTGTGGAAAAGATAAACTACACAAAAAATTCTTATTTCTTGATTATTCGGCTGAATAGCCTTATAGATGAATAGATACATTTTTTGGATGATTTAATTATGCTTTTTAACATTTCCTATCGTCCCTTGTTATTATTAAATTAAATTCTACAGGTATAACCTTAATCTAAACTGCTCCACAAAAGTTAAGGAAGTTCGCAAATTTTGCGATTATTTTAAAAGTTACAGACTTTTTGATCATCAAATTTTCAAATATGCGAAATTAAATGTTTTCTATCATATTTGAGTGGATTTTTGCCCCTTCCTCTACAACTCATACTAAATTTGGCAAATAAAAAAACCTGCCACTTTTAAATTAATCTCAATATTTGTGAACTCCCTTAACTTTTGTGGAGCAGTGTATTTTGTGTATTTATTTTAAAAAGTTGGTCACAATGCTTGGCAAATATGACGACAGTATAGTGACATTTGTTTTGCACCAACAGTACTTTCGTGTTTGAATTAGGGCGAAAATCGGCTGCACTTATCGCTAGATTTTAAAGTTTGGAGCCGAAATGAGCCGGGGCTAATCTGGCGATCGATTAGAATTATTATCGTTCGCTCTATGCTCGTTGTAACGTCAAAAGTTTGTTTTATAGCCCGGTCGGTTTTATTCGCTCGTTCCTCTTATCTGCTGGGTTGTACACGAAAGTTAACTCGTAACATTAGAGCTAATTTCCACGAGAAATTTCGATGATTTTTCGACGTATAAAAGGGTTTCAAAAAAGGCTTCTTTTTTATATTTCTGACGTGTATTTTTTTGTAAACAATTATTCGAGAAAATTAGCTATCACAGACTTTTCTTAAGCTCCTATTTAGGTTCATCTAATAGCAGGATTACCGCTGAAACGAGAACAACGTTTCGGAATTAAAAACGCGGAGATTATACTCGATTCGATTCTCATCGCCCATACATACACCCGTATATATTGATTGGAAGTTTATTTTCGTGATAAATGGCGTTAGAAAAGCGGAAAAAAACGCTCCGGATCGAAGGAAAAACCTGCGGGTTTTTTCGAACGGAAAAGCGAGGGGTGGAAGGGCGAATTTTCTCGCCAAACAACCACCATTAATCAGCCGGTAATCGAAGACGCCTCTCCAAAAATCCGAACGACCATCACGACATCCATGAAATGATAAATTACACTTACATATGCTCCGATAGAAAATCCTCCTAATTTTTATCCATAATAAAATAGTCGTGTTAAAAGTGTCGACAGAATTACAAAAAGAAAAAGTTTCTACAGCAACTTATATACACAAGAATTATACTTGAGAGAACCGTTATAGCAGGAGTAATACAGCACCCGGCGCTTCCATTCGATTCGCTATAATAACGCCACATGTTCGATTCCCTGCGATTCCTGCAGCATTCATATACGAATGTACAAAGTGTCATTACTTCCCGATACGTTTCGCTCCGGATTTATTCCCGCCGTCTTCGATATACGGCGGCAGCTGTTGCAGGAAGAAAACCCGGAATTTCTCGCGGCGATTAATAACCTGGCCTCGATTTAATTGCGACCGCAGCCAGCGCGTAAAAAACCGCCGCACGACGTAAACAAACCCTCTTCAAATGCGCCCGACGAAAAGGAGCTTCGGCACAAAGTAGAGGGAACTTAAAATGGAGCAGGAAGCCCCGTCGGGGTTTCGTACACGCAGTGAAAATCGCGTTTCGGCGGGTCGAAACGTTCGATAATCATAAACGGGTGTTTAGCAACCCTTTTTGCCGATCGATTGCCTCGCACAAGCACCTGTTCCCTGTACATAAAAGGGAAGTGGATGCGACGCTAAAGCTTTTTGTTTTCGAATCCGACGTGCAGGAGTCGAAATCAAAAGGGCCTGCGAAGTGTGAAAGCCTTCTCGAAACGTATACACAGGAACGGATTAATATTAATACTTTTTCACGCATAGAAACACGGTAGAGGGAATTTTATACAACGCAGCGGGAAAAATTAACAAAGCTCATCGACTGTATTTTATTATTAAAAAAACGCCCTACGGGAAACTGATTAAATTGTACTTAATATCAGCAGGAAAAATTACAGTAGCGCTTAACTCAGCACGAAAATTGTAGGAAAGAATAAGCAGGAAGATGACTTTTTTGAATAGCACTTATTATGTGATACCTACTAGATTATTAATAAAGTTCTTTATAAGTGTATACGGTTCTGTACGGGAAAATCCTGCTGATCGGGATCGAACGGGTGATGAAAACTGTAATGGAAATGCGCGAAGCGGGTCGTCGTTAAAGAAAACCAAAGTGTAAAATTTCATGCGACAGGATTTTCGAAAGGAAAGTGTTTCGTTTTCCTTCAGAGTAGATGCGAATCGAATTAGTGTTACAGGATATTCGCGTCAAATTTGAACGTTTGGCAACGCCGATTTTTGGCACAATATTTCATGGTAAATAAGTGTATTTTATAAGCACGTCGGTGTGCTTTCAAGGACGACTCGTTGAATTGTGGAAGGTAATTTCAGACGTCTAAAATAATAATCCTGCGATAACTTTCACATGACCAAGATTGTAATGAATCGATTAAATTATACGCCGCATAAAAATTCCTAAAATATCGCCTATAAAACATTTCTGTTATATGTAGATGTACGAGTAAAATGTTACGGGATCGAATTGATACATTGTAAAAGCGATTTCGAGTTTTTAGTTTCAAACTAGACGCTTGACATTTATGCACGATTGTTTCATCCCGAGAAAACAACTTTTACAATCGAACATAAAGCCGAAGGAGACGGTAAAATCTCGTGCATTCGAATGACGAATCGCAAACTGTACGCGACAAATTCACCTGTAACGTCTGCCTGTGTCCGCAGTGCCTGCAGGAATACGCGAAGAAGTCCGGCAGGGCGGGCATTATCCTCAAACTGTCGCAACTGTTGCTGCAATCGTTCACTAATTTCCTGTAATTCACTCTGAACGACGGCGTACTCCTGCTCAGTCGCCCCATATCATCGGATTGTGCATCACAACATCATCACCACGCACAGGATACTATCGAACAATGAACGAATTAAACCGTACACGAATCACCGATCACACCGAACGGTACTTCTGTGGAATTGTATCGAACTGAAGTCTGCGTTGAACTGAAACTGAAACGGCCTTTTACTGAAACGAGTAGGCCGTCCGTAGTGCGGGTCAGGTACTCCTGTAACAGGACCGTACTCGCTCCTAATTCACCCCCTTCGTTACGAAACAGTCTTGTATATACCTCACCAAATCTAGCTTAACAGCTGAAATTTGGATAAGTCGTATAAAAATTTGAAGAAGGGAGAAAGTAGGCAATGATACTACCACTTTTTTGCATTCTTGATTTCATTAATTGTCTTCTTTATCAATACTTCTTTTTCCAACACTCATTCTTCCTAACTGTTTACCAATTTTCTTCATCGAACCATCAATATTATCTGATTGATTGCGATTTGATTGTTACAGTGAGATGGTGATGGTGAAGAGGGAGCGTGCAAAACGGCGGTTACGGTCCTGTTTGTTACGCTTACACGAGGAATGTCGACTGAAGAGACACATACGAAGACATGGCGAAGTTAAACGAACTGTTTCTTCATCTGTTGTCTTCGGCGTTCGCGTTTCAACGGTAGTGGTCGAGGAGATGGGTTTTGTGCAAATAAAGAGGAAATTGTCGATTTCTTCTAAGGAATTTCTCGGTTCGAAGATATTTTTTTTTCTATTTGAAAAGGGTACTTATAGAATCAATCAACTTGGAATAAATATTTCGTAATAGTTGAATAGCTGTATTAATTATAAAGTCGATAATTGCTGGAGCTTGTTCGTTTTTCTCTCGACTTTTATTCACGGAGGTAGGAAGTAGATTTATCGCTTTATGTACGTTAAAACCCGCCTTCATAATTACGGTTTTTTCGTCTAGTCTAGCAGATGATACTGGAATTTTTAAGGATTAATTACTGTCATCGTTCTCTGGATTTCTTTCTCTCGACAACGTCGAGGCAACCCCTTAATAAAAGCCCAGGTAGTTGGTACAGGAGGGAAAAAATTAATCTTTAATTAGAGAGGATTTCGAGGAAGATAATACCTGCAGGATTGAAGTAATAATGGTCCTTTTTTTATATGTAGAACGGCATTTTAATTTCGAGTACTCGGAACGGAAAATATTTACAGACACGCTCTAATCGAGATGGTTATTTAGGCGGAATCTCGCTCGATGCGCGAGCTCGAATTAGTATGAGAAATTAAATGTTTTTTGCAAATTTGATGAGAAAGACATTTCCAGAAGTCGAAACGTTTTCGAGTCAATTAACCAATTAAAAATCTCAATTAACTCGTTTTAGGGAAAACCGCATCGTTGCATCGCTGCAATTGGAATAAAAAAAACTCGTTCAATCACACGCTAATAATAATTTTTTTATTGACCGTTTACCCGCGATTTTCCCCGTCACGATTCCGTACGTGCCGAACCGATTTTTCCGGAGATCTTTCCCGTTGTTTTCTCTTTTCCTCGGACGCTTTTTAAATGCTTCGTGCCGTTCCCACAGATACACAGATCCCGGACGGGATGCGAATTTAATCCCGCGCCGGCCAGACCGCGCGCGGTAATTGCGAATATCCGCCAGGAAACTTTCCCGTTCCCGCGCGCTTCTCGAAGATAGCAAATTCGGAAATTATCCGCGGAGGCGTTCGCGATTCGCGATTTACTATGTTTACCCGTCTTCGCTAAAACGGTAGCGATTATGAGCGGCTGATTTACGCCGCTCAAATTACAGCCCAACGCCGAAACGGACTCTTCGTCTAACCATTATTTATAATAGTAATTACCGGTAGAGACTTATGAACGACACGCAACCCATCTTTCCGCCTCACTAGATACATTTTATCGATCGATATTATTCAGCGCGGCTCGTTTATCTATAGCAATATTTACTTACTCGGTGAAACCCAGTGAAAAGGCCAGTAAAACTCAGTAAAAAGGTCAATAAAGGTCAATAAAGCTCCAGTAAAGTATGGTGAAACACAGTAAAGGCCAGTAAAACTCAGTAAAATCCAGTAAAGGTCACTAAAGCCCCAGTAAAGCCCCAATAAAACTGTAAATCTCAGTAAAGCTCGGTGAAAACTAGTAAAGCCCAGTAAAGGCCAGTAAAACTCAATAAAAAGACCAATAAAGGTCAATAAATCCTCAGTAAAGCATGGTGAAACTCAGTAAAACCCAGTAAAGGCCACTAAAGCCCCAGTAAAGCCCCAATAAAACTCTCAGTAAATCTCAGTAAAGCTCGGTGAAAACTAGTAAAGCCCAGTAAAGGCCAGTAAAGCCCAATAAAGGCAGTAAAGTTTAGTAAAGCTTAGTAATACCTTTATTAATATTAGTAATATTAGTAAAAAAAATAATAAAAGCTAAAGTAATTAGGATATGTAAAAGATTAATATAGAAGATATTTTTTTTGTTGTCGATAGATGTGACTTCTGTATACTTCCTGGACGCTTCTCGTTTAGAGCAGAAGTGTAAATCTAAACAGATTTACTGACTCGAGATGGCTCGAACTCGGGAGACTTTGTCAATATTGACGTAACGGTTAGCGAGATACTAATTGCTGTCATTAACGACCTGCCCCGCAAGATGACTGCGCAAACAGTGGCCCCGGTTTTTCCGCTATAATAGATACAAAGTGGATTTCGGTGTCGTAATTAAGATCGCTTATTTACCCGAATTGCCCGGAATGCGCCGGGATTTTTTTTCCCCGGATTTTCGAACGACCGCCCTGCACTATACCGGCGCTTTTTTTTTCACTCGCATTTCGCATCGTTTATTTCTCAACTTTCGCGGAGATATCATTTCCCGTCCGAGACTGTTGCTAAACGAGAGAAAATAAAAATTAGATTACATACTATCTAAGTCGAAATATTATTTCCGACCGTACGCTTTTCAGTTTTCCCGTCATTTTACCTAAATAAGCAGATTGCGAACAGTGGCGTCGCAAAATATCAGACGAAAAATAACTAATATTCATCTCACAATTCATCTCATAATTCATCTTACAACTTATCTTATAATTCATCATATAACTCATCTCACAATTCGTTAATTTTCTTAATAATATGTAATAGTATTTAGTTGAAACTATCATTGCAGTGATATTTCTAGAAGGGCTTCATTCATAAAAATTGTTACACAAAGGTAATGTGAGTGGTGAAAAGACCCATATCTCATAATTCATCTTACAATTCGGTTTTTTTGTACTATTCTATAGTGTTTAGTTGAAACAATCATTGCAATGATATTTCTATAGAAGGGGATTTGGAACAATCGTTGCACAAAGATAATTTGAGTGGTGAATAAAAGGCGCCTTGAAGTGTTTTTAATTTACAAAAGTGCGTTTTTACGGGAATCTCATTTAGATTGCTGCCGATTTTAACGTGGAATTGAAGGGAGCAGACGAAATTACGAGACGAATTTAGCTAAATTCGCAATAATTAGACGGGCGAACTAACCAGTCTTAACGGTAATATTGAAACGATAGCGAGACGGAGCAGAAACGAGTCGAAAACTACACAGAAACACGCCGAAACCAAAGTAAACTCCGAGGAAAGATAATAAGTTTCCTTTCGACAAACAATTTTCCACCGGGTATTAGTAGAGGGCCGCTGCAGTTCTGCGCTTTGCTTTCTGAATAAATACGGGGATTCATAAGCTTTTTCCAAGGAAATTGTTCGACTAAAAAGAAACTTTATCGTCGAACATGGGCGGGGAACCGCCGATTATTTTATCGAAAACGTGCACGTAATTTTCACGCAGCGATAATTAGAAATTCATTAAAGCTCCACGAATCTCACAGACAGTATATTTACAGTACGTTCCATTAATAGAACATCCCGAAGTGTTTCGAGCGACTTCCTGCTTCATAAAATTAATACACACATCCACCACGGCGACTAGATAAGTTATTTATTTATTTTAACGCGAGCGGTATCTAGTTGGCGTCGGCTAAGAAGGAAATTGACGTTGACACATGACGTCTCGAGACGTCGAATAAACAAACAATGCCTTCTACGATGACTGGCGAAATACAACTCGTCGATTGAAATTAAAAATTAACCCGTCAAATTTCGAGTTGGAGTCTATTGAAACATTTTTTACAAGTACTTGTGATGATAATTAGTGGAGAAGAAAGCGAGTTACCCTCGTATTCGAGCAGAACCGGTCTCCGCCCAATTGTAATTGCAAATAAAAGTGAAATATAATGTAGGGAGAAAATGGAATAATCTGTAACCGGTCCTGGAAACTTGTCATTTAGGGAATCGGGGGTGTACAAGGGACGTATGTCTCCCTTATTGCGGAAATAATGGTCCGAAAAAAGGACGTTTTATCAAACGGGCGGGTAATTTGGACGTTTTTTTTCGGTATATCCATAAGAGAGACAAAAGGAAATTCGTCAAGCATTTTTGCTATATATATACGAAATGAGCCGCGCATAACAAAACAAAAGTGCTCGGGCTCGAAAAAATGGGCGTAATCACTCTTCTCTGTTCCTATCTCTTGGAAATTAAACATCTCGTCTCGCGGTGGTTTCTTTTTCTCCTTTATTATTCGACTTCTATTATGATCAGCGGGAAGCCATTCACATCGTATTCTTTGGCACAGAACAATACGAAATCCCCGCCAGCGACACCTATAAACTGTCGAATTTCGCAAAAAAATACCGAACAACCTAAGTACTCGAGGCTTCATTGTACTTATAGGAAGAAGACTTTTCAATTTCACCCAAAATAAATTAACTTTACCTTTAACGAAGGACGATCAGAGGCAACATCTACATCGCGTGGGCTTCCCCCATCAGCGTTCTGCAACAACAAAAGTCTGCAATTAATATCCAGCTGGGAGAGTAACGATACGAGCAGACGCGCCGCGACGCGACTGGAATCTCCCCCATATATCAGAGATTTTTCCTCTACTCTACAGCAAATATTATTCTCCAACTAGGTTATTGAAAATAACGTTAAATTCAACGGTTACGCTGTAAAATACGGTTAAAAATGCAACAGGTTGATAGAAGCTCTTTCAGTTAATTTAATTACCATTAAAGGTAACACACGCAACCGTGATCGTTAGATCTTTAACTAATTAGAGTTTAAATGAATACCTGATGCTTTGCCTATGCGCTGCTATCAAGATTAATAGGAT